GTCAAGTAGCGAAGCTCGTGCATTCTACAAACGAAACTAATATTCAGCGTGCTAGGTTTGACAAAAAAGAGGAATGGAGAGAGAGAGAGAGAGAGAGAGAAAGAGAAAGAAAACAATTGGAAAATAATAGCGAGCAGATTCTAGATAATCTTTGAATAACTGCAGTCTTCTGTATAGTGAATTTATTGCATTTTATTGTCTCATTGCTTAAAATAAATATGAATGAAACAAAAAAAAAAAAAAAAAGAAAAAAATATTTAAAAGATCTTCGATGTTTTCTATTTCCTTTCTTTGTTTCTTGAGAAATCTTTTGTGATTCTGTTCAGTTTACGGTTTTAAAAACTTATTTGTGGTTTATTTCTTCCATTTGATTCTTTTATTTTTAGGATACTCGCATGCTTGAAAATCAATTTTTCCTTTTCTATTTCGTTACAGGAATAGCAATAAGGAAAATAAAAAGAATTTCATTTTTACTACTTTTTATATATATAAAAAAAAAATATATTAAAAAAATATCTTATTTTTTCTATACAATATAATATTCTAATTTTATAGAGGAAAAATATATATGAAATTGAAATGTATATTTTCACGTATTTTTTTACTTGTTTGTAGGAATCAAAGCTTTCTGTTTTTCATTTCTCTTGCCTTTTCACTACTACTCCTCTTGGATGTACGAGGATTTAGCGTTTGATTTAACTTTTAGCTTTCTTTCTTTTTTTTTTTTTTTTTTTTTAAGATATAAAATATATTTTTCGATTTATCCTTTGTAGAACGTTCTATTCACCATAATCTTTCTTCATTTTACAAATAATAATCGAACATCATCTCTTTTGAACTTTCAAATTAGGATTCAGGGAATTTGGAAACAGAGAGCAGATAGTTGCTCAAAGCCAGGTAGATGTTTGACCTGCAGGCAGGTACGATCAACAGAACCCGCAGTTTACATAGGTGTGTAACATTAGCCGACTCTGAGTAAATATGCATGCTTGTAGCACACCTGATTGAGTTACTCTATAAAGTCTAGGTTCTCGCGTGACGTGTATCGTGAACGAAACTGCAAAGAATAAAACGATCGTTCGTTATTTTGTCATTAAATCACGGTTAGTGATCCTATTTATGGATTTTCTTTCTTTCTTTCTTTCTTTCTTTTCTTCCGACGTTCCTCAGAACAACGAACTAGGACAATTTCCCAATGGGAAAGTCGATACACTACTCGGTCTGTATAGAGGTCTGCATAAGGTAGCAGCAAGATATACTTTTACTTGTAAATGCGAGATTTTTCGATTAATGATAAATATATCCGTTTATCGACCAATAATCGAATTCGCGCACCATTCAAGAAATTTCTTCGATACGATAAAGGTATTGTTATGGATGCCGTTTCATTACTTTATTAAAATGGAAACCTTTTCGAATTTCATCTGATTCGCGTTCCTTTCCCCCCCTCCCCCCCTCTTTTTTCCTTTTTTTTTTTTCCCATTGTTTCAATTCAACGAACGCAGCGGTATTTGACGTTAAATCGTTAGGTACGTGCGCCAGGTACGTGCGCTAGGTAAACGCAAGGTCGTTACCAACACTGAAAGCTAAGTCTCGTTAACCATTCCTAACAGGCGAATACGAAGCATCCTAGCATTGGATTTGATGCCTTGTTCGAGAATCTCTATTACCTACGTGATGTCTGGAGACATTTGCTAACCCGTGCGATACACAGTCAGATAACACGCGAACGAGAGATTCGGTTGAAGGACTGGCGGAAGGACGTCGGGGGCGATGCTACCCAATGTTTCGCAACGTACAATGTATGCACAATTTAGAACTCGGATACAAAGGTTTATCCGTTTCTCTCGTTCGCATTTTCTCCTCTTACATTATTTATGCCTCCTTCGTATTCCACGTTTTCTATTGTCGTTCTATTATTATTTTCGTTCCTGCCTATCTCCGCCCGATATCGGTCGGATCGGTTACGAAAGAAAGGGAAAGAGGCGAAAATCTATGACAGCTGCGTTCATCCGTCGTGTCGAAATGTTTTTCGATTCGATCTGATAAATAAGTAGATTAACGAAGTAATGAATCTTTCTCTTTCGTAACGCGTTTAATTTTCTCCCTTCGCTTTATCTCGTCTAAATCATTTATTTAATTTATTTAATTCAATCTATCTGCTATATACTATATTTCATAATGGATAAAAAATGAAAAATGTCCCCGATGATTGAAACACGTAATATTGTATTTTGCGAGTATATTATAGAAGGGAAATGGAGGTTCACGCACAGAATAAGCTAAGATAGTTTATTAGACGTCCTGCTGCTACCTTTATTAGTCTTCCCTATTTCCTTCATAAACCGAGTTGTGCGTGCACTGATATTTGAAATTGCATATTGTACGTATAAGTTGACAGGAACCCGCAGCTTTCATCAAAGTTCCGAAACACCAATATTATATTCATTTCTCGCTATAGCGATTTATACGAGCGATAAGAGGTATAACAGACCGGTCGTATATAATCTCGAACGAATAATCAGGTGTTTTTACTTTACGAGTGAAAATGAAGGAAAAATTGGCGATATAATTTCGCGAACGGAGATATCTTAACGAGAAGAGAAGGGATTGAAAAACACGAGGATACGATTTTGGTTTATAAGCAATACTACGTCATAGAGTGCATGAAGAGAATAGGTAAAGGCAAGTTCATCATTAAGTCACGATGCTTTTATCCAGTATCTTCGTCACCTATACCCGTCTCGCTTCCATTTCCCCTCTATTCGTTTTCTTCTCGCGTTCTTAGGACTTGGTTCCGTTGTCGGGTAGCGAAAAAGGTAGGAAAAAGAGAAGGTAATAGTTGCCGTATTCGTAGTCCTTCGAGGCAGCTTCTTTTTCGTAGTATGTACTTCTCTTTGCGTTTTATTTCTCTGCGTATCGAGTTTCCCATTTCAGTATGTGCTACAACGTAGACACATTTACGTTCAATGTATTTATATCAGTTTCTCATGGGATGACTCGACACTGCAAAGGAGGTTACCTTTCGAATAAGATCAGACAGAGTTGAAAAATTGAAACGTTCAATATCGTTTCAAAGATGTATCGATTGATTTCAAATTAATATAATTATAATGCTTTTACGATTGATAAAATATTGATCGAATATCTCGAATACATAAATATAATTTTCGATATCTTTGACGGGCGTGGAATTCATTAACGAAGGAACGGGAAGAAACTCAGTTCTAGTTTCAAAATGTATTTTTCGCGAATGACACGATCGTCTTAATTAGATTATTCGTTTAAAGAGGACGAGAAGTAAGTTAGGCGTAGAATAAAATCTTGTGGAAGCGTAGCATCGGATAATAGCTTGGCGGTAGTTTGGAGAAAAGCGATGGGGGACTGCGCAAGTATGTTTTTCTTTTATTTCCGTTACGACGCGGTGACAGTGCAGCGGCAAAATAGCCGCCTTCGGCAATCGTACGATAAACATTCTTTCTTCTCTTACCTCCTTCTTTCCTTTTCTTCTTCTACTTTTTTTTACTTTTGCTCTTTCTCCTTCATTTGGTTTTTTCCGCGAAAGAAAATTTGAAGAAAATTGTACTGAAAATTGTACACCGTATAATTGGAACAATAATCGTTCAAATTATTCTTTAAACACTTTATTTTTCGTGCAAATATATTCGAATATATAATATTAATATCATTAAAAAAAAAAAAAATTGAAAGGAAATTTAATACAACTTTTTAATCGAAAAGATTAAGAGAAGAAAAAAATTGTTACTTTTTTCGATTTATTTATTTACTGCGCTGATTTCGTTTTTTTTTTTTATTTTTCCTATCCGTCATTCGATAAAAGAGTTCGTATCTACGTGGAGAAGATCGAACGAAAAAGTTATCGTTGGAACTAAGTTGTAGAAAATGCGGAGGGTCCTAGGGATTGAGAGGGAGCTTCGAGTAGCTTTTGTGCACTTATATTTTCTAGGTGGTAAGGCTTTATGGCAACAGGGATCGTAAAATGGATACAAAGAGACTATATTGCGTCTGGTATGAGACTAGAGAAGCTAGGGGCGGAGACGTGAATCTGCATATGGAACGCGCATTAAGTAGTTTCTTCACCGTTTAATTTAATACCGCGGCCACAATGGGCCGAGACTACGCCGACATCGAAATGTCTCCTTTCTATCAACCAACCTTTATATATCTCTATATAATTATTTTGCCATCTGATCTTTAATATCTCAATACATTTCCCTACTACGATTCGTTATTATCTCGCGAAAAATAATATTATCTAGAATAGAACACCTCTGCGTTTTAAATCAATCGTGCAGCTTTTTCCAATTGAAAATTTCTTCGTAAAATACGGAGGCAAAAAAGAGCTTGACCGAGTTCCTTTTTTTTACTTATTCCTTCTTATCGCATGACCTATTGCGCGTTTCTCGCGATCAAGAGTGCTCCATTATTTTTACCTCTGTTTCATTTAAGTATATTCATAGTCACGATGTTCCATCTATCTACCTTACATTTTCCAACGTTTTTCAACGCTGACGCGTCGTATATATATATTTTCAATTGAATCGAAATCGCTTTTAAACCTGTTTTTTAAACCTGTTGGTTGACGTTATCAAAATTTTTGTTGTCAAGGCATAGAGGCAGTAATTCGAAAGAGAAATAACTAAAGGAAAATAGGTAAAGACAGTTGCGAAAGAAGAGTCGTAACGGGAAGGATGGATTGGTTGGTCGTCGAAACAAGGAACCGTCTCGTGCAAACGATTGTGACGCGGGGAAAGGAAAACTCATTTCGAAGAAAAGAGAAATAAAGAAGGGTGTGTGGGGGAGGAACTCAAGGACAAAGGAGAAAAAGAAGATACGAGGTGGCAGACGGAAGGTAGCAGAGAGCAGGCTAGCTTCATTTCTTTGTAAGTTGGCGCGACAGTTGAGAGAAAAATTGGTTCTACCGTTGGCCGGGTCGGGAAGGTGCGAAGGATTCGAGCAAGGGGCTGGTGTCCGGAATACGAAGGGTTGGGTACACCCTCTAATATCTTGTGATTTAGTGTCGGATGCAACGACGCAGCTTAAACGCCAACGTTATACGATGCTCCAACCCGATACAGCTGCGAAATTAAACTTCCGTGGCTCCCTTTTTGACTCGTCTTTTCAGCCCTTCATATTTTTTCTTCCTTCCTCTCCCGCGTTGGTCTTTTTTTCTCTTCTCTTCTCTTCTCTTCTCTTCTCTTCTGTTTTTCTCCCTCGAATTTCTTCCTTTTTTTTTTTTTTTTTTTTTTCTATCATCACAAATTGCGTATCCATCGTGTAGATAGATAACCGTGTATTGCTCATCATCGCAGATGCATCATCGAACTCGTTATAAATTACCGGGGATGTAGATACGTTTCGTTGAAAATTCGTTAGGTCGACGTTAACTAAGCGAGCAGGATAAGCTGACGGCATTGGTTCTTTTAGTTGGAAGGGGAGGATGGACTATCTAAAAAAAAGGGACGGGTGGGGCCGTTTGTCAGTTGGCGCGCGTCCATTAGGGGTGAAAAATCGAGTAGCAGCACGGCCATAAACAAACAAAATTATACGAGAGGACGGTTTCTCGACTAGTTCGGAGTTCATATATGTCGCGTCATGTATTTCATAGAATGAATTTTTCTTTGTGTCGTGCAATACGATGCATGTTCGATGTTTTTACTTCTCTCGTAAATTATCGTTAAAACTTGCGTTGGATTCGAACGTTCGAATTAGCCGAGATACAAGTCGATAATACCTTTTACTTAAGAAAGTACAACGGAACAACGCAAAGGACTTTGATCCCTTTGACAACCAACGATGTTTACGAAGGCAAACCCGTCGATATTCCGAAAAATTAGTTAAACGACGTTAATAACGATTATGAATTGAAACAATTAACGACAAAGAGTTCCTCCTCTTTATAAAGTTTCCACAAAATTATGAACGAACGAGATGAAAAAGAACAAAATATTCTTCGTATTTGAAAATACGTATAATCGTATAATTGGACGGATGTTGAACGAAATTCGAACATCCACCGAAAAAATTTTGGAGTGAGTTGAGATGTTATTATCGAATTAAAGTTATCGCGTCAATTTATTTCGATTATCAAGTATTTAACGAAAATTCGGAACGTAATCGGATACAACGCTTGTTTCGTCGTTTCATTTTGATTTTCTCGTTCGATCGATCAGTTTGTAGGAAAATTTATGGCACAGTAAACGCAAACGAGAATAGATGAGGCCGCAAAGCCCGCGTTTCAGTTTTCATCTGCGAGCAACGTCGCTCTATAGATATCTATATTATCGGGATATATCCTCGAACGACGGAATGTAAACGAACGTATGGCGAGAAAATAATAAAATCGGAAGAGAGAGGAAGACGATTGACGAGTAGCGAAAGTTATCGAAGATATGATCCTCGAGCGGGGGGATGGAAATTTCGAAGACAGAATCTCTCTGATTCGTCCGATATAAGCACGGGTCCACAGTTGGCAATCAAAAAAGGATCGTATAACCTTGGAAGATCGAGGTTTCGAAGAATCATGTTCCTCCCTCCCAGACTTTAAGTTACGGCTTAGATACGAAAGGCGGTCCGTGCTAGGCGCTGGGATTGATTGTGGCTATGAGCGCGTGATTTATCTTTCTCGCTTCTCTTTTAAAACCATTTCTGTATACCCGTCTTCTTCCTTACGTCTATTTTTCTTTTCTTTCTCTTTTCTTTATTCTTTCTTTCTTTCTTTTTTTCCTTCCGTTTTGTATTGTGCAAACCGTTCAAAATTTTTCTCCGCGACAGATACCTTTTCAACGTTTTACCTCGAGCGAGGTAAAATGAAAGTAGCCCGCGAACAGTGTTAAAAAACGAACGTTTCGTTAAGAAAGTTATAAAATTTAAGTTACTGCCCCGCAAACGACTTCTCTCCTTTTATGCAGACACTTTGCTTCCATTTAATTAACCGTGGATCTTAAATCACGTTCAGATATTAAGAGCTTAGCGCCCCTAACATTCGAGGAGTCGAGTAATTTTTCTCGTTCTTTCGCGTAAATTCTCAGTTTTACTGCGTAAAAAACGGTACGAGATCCCGGAAAGATCGTTCCGTTTCGCTCGTTCAGTAGTATAGATCGATATTGGCGAGGCAATATCGAAACTCGAAACGAAGTCGGTGGAAGACGAAGACGAAAGGTCGAAGACGTTTAAAATACCTGGGAACCGTGTGAAAATCAATGTTTGCGATTACCTGGTGGTCGGACCAGAGCTAATACGTATAAGTTAGGTAGCGCGCAACAGGCAGTCATGACACACATAAATCCCAACTAGACGTGGCAAGTAACACACCTGACTTTTGGCCCGGCGCCGCGACGTATCGGCTTTTCGAAAAGCAGATTATAAGGAGGGAGGGGGAGACGTAATGCGCGTCGAGTTTTCTTTTTCTTTCTTTCTTTCTTTCCTTCTTTCTTTTTCTTTTGTAGGATAAAAACTATCGTTCCAACGAAATAGGCTAATCGACGAGAAAGTTGGTTAATTCTAGACGATTTTCCGACCAATCGGATATGCTCGATAAAAATCAATTTGCGAGTATACTCGTAAAATACTATTCTTTGTTATCCACGGTTGTGTGGAGGCAATCGGTCGGTAGGGAGAGTACGAAGTTAGAAGGTAGAGAGAAAGGTGGTTGGAAAACATTTTTGTAGATCCTGCTAGCCCCGAAAGTATTGGCCAAAGATGACGGCGAGTCTCATTCGCGATACCGTCAAAACTTTCTATCTCGAAACTGGACAAAATATTGACCGATTCGTTCCCTCTTCTCCAACGGTTCCCTTTACTTTTCGATGGACTATACTTTACCGGCACCCTCTGTCTCGATGTAACTTATATTTAATTACTGTCGGTAATATATTAGATTTAAAGAGTTTTCTCGTAAAATATCGCAACATTAAGAAAACCTCGACGCTTCCACCGAGACCAGGCGGCCGAAGAAAATGATTTAGCTTTCATGAATTCTTTAAGGCTACCAGCACGACTAGAAAGTCTCCAACTACGGTCACTGTATTCCACACCCTTCCTCCCAACTCTTCCTCTCATCTTTCGTTCTCTTTTTCACCATCTTTATCATTGCCTCGACAGAGGCTTACAGCTATAGTCCCTTAAATTCACGCGATCATTTCCACTCTCTCTCTGCAGCTATGCTTTTCCTCTCCCTTCATCGAGTAATTAATAAAGCTCTTAAAATATATTGCAATTTTTCCCTTATAATTTTATAATCTATTTCCAGTTGATAAATTGTCAACAGGCACATAATTACGACATCATCCTGTTTGTTAAACGATATTCCTCTATAACGAAAGTAAGTAGCTCGTCGACTCGAGCTATTATCGTCCTCCTCCTCCTCCTCTTTCCACGCGAGTACCTATAGATTTCTTTATTTTTTTTTTTTCTTTCCTATATTTCCCTTTTCATTCGCGGAATTAACCGTCTGAATGGATAGAGATTACGGATGGAAATCGAAAACGTGTGTTTCGTTTCTATTGTAAAAACAGTTTCTGAACGGAACGGTGATGCTTACTAAATGTACGAGAGGAAACTGTTTTGTCTCGACTCGTTCGAGAGACTTTTTTCCTCCTCTTCCTCCTCCTCCTCTTCCTCCTTCTTCTTCTTCTTCCTCCATCTGTCTATATATCGCCAGATTTGCTCGCTTCGTTAAAACGCAGTCAACGAAGTCGCAATCGACTCTTTCGTTTTTAGGATAGAAATGATCCGAAAAGAAAAGTGGTCTAGTAGTTGGGAGAGCTTTTCAATGGTAATTTAAATGGATGAATGTGTTTATCGTTGCGATCTATAAGTATAAATGAAGTCGGATGAAAGCAGAGGAGAAATACGGAATATCGAGCGAACATCCATTGTGCCGATTGAATCGTCGTAAGGAATACGCGCGATTTTAATTTTGTTCGAATGGAAAATTACCATTCAATTTCAGTCTTTTGTTTTATGGGGGGGAACGTCGAGCGTTGGAAATAAAAGAAAGGAGTAAGCAGAGGCATAGGTAGAAGTGTGTGACACTTTGTACGATATCTCCGTGATGTACACGAAACGCCACTTAAATCCCGGATCAACGGTCATATGGGTTAAGCGAAACCACAAGGGGATGCACGGTTGGATGATGAAACAAAAAAGGAAGAAAGAAAGAGAGAGAGAGAGAGAGAAAGAAAGAAAAATTAAACGAAATATGCATAGGTAAAGAAAGATCCTGAAATTATCATGTATATCGATCGATGTTCTCGTCTTACAATTTTCTCAATTAATTATTTCTCGTCGTTTCATTGGTAAATTGAATCGACGAAAAGACGACGAGTTGTTAAATTTGAGAAGTGAAAAAAAAAAA